AGCACTCCAAGTGGACCCACCACCCCTTCAGCGCCCACCTCGATTCCCAAGGCCGCATCTTCGCCCGCGGCTCTCAGGACATGAAGTGCGTCGGTATGCAGTACCTCGAAGCCCTCCGCCGTCTCAAGGCCCGAAATTTCCACCCTCTCCGCTCTATCTACCTCGCCTTCGCACCCGACGAGGAGATCGGCGGCCACGACGGCGCTGAGAAGTTAGCCCAATCGGAGATTTTCCAACGGATGAATGTGGGCGTGGTGCTTGACGAAGGGTTGGCTTCCCCCGACGCCCATTATAGGGCCTTCTACGCTGAGAGAAGCCCCTGGTGGTTGGTCATCAAGGCCGTTGGGGCTCCCGGCCATGGATCCAAGCTTTATGATAACTCTGCCATGGAGAATCTCCTCAAGAGCATTGAAGCTATCAGAAGGTTTCGCGCCTCCCAGTTCGACCTCATCAAAGCCGGCTTCAAGGCCGAAGGCGAAGTTGTTTCTGTTAACATGGTCTTTCTCAAGGCTGGAACTCCATCTCCCACTGTAAGTTCACCACTCCCTTTTCTTCTTCTCATACAATACATACACTACAACACAACAGCAATGTTCCCTAACATTTGACTGTGTTTCCTCAACATGGTTACAATTTGATTAGTCGACACATTCCACATGTCTCAATCCATCATCATCATGATTGAGTGAATGGCAGTATCTGATGATTGTATTCTATTTTGCCTTTTGCTTTGCCAGGGTTTTGTGATGAATTTGCAGCCGTCTGAAGCAGAAGCTGGATTCGACATTCGAGTGCCACCTACTGCTGATCCGGAATCCTTGGAGAGACGCATTGCTGAAGAATGGGCACCTTCGTCCCGCAATATGTCATTCTCTGTAATTAGCTAATTATCCACTCTTTCCTCTATATATTTCTTCCATCTAGTGTATTTTTTAATGCACCCAGCTTATAGTAGATTCACTGCTTGACTTTTTCACCTTTGAAATTTGCACTCAGGAACCTTGTCTTCTTTCTTATAGAACTTATGCACTAGAACATATTAGATATGACCTTGACCTTCTGCAACATGTTTTCACCTCATACAGATATGATCAAATTATAGGATATCGACTAGTGATATATAATCAAATTATAGGATATTGACTAGATTTATGATCAAGTAATAGGATATAAGTAGTTGCAAACTTCTTTGAAAATTTTGTGGTATTGTGATATTGAGTTATGTTTAAAGTTCACTTTATCAATGTGTATCCTAGTAACCTTTCATTTCATCAACTATTGTTTTGTGACTTTTAAGTTAAACTTAAAGTTCCCTTTCTAAAGAACCTTTTCAACTAGAAAAAGAATAAGAGAAAGTCAAGGGTAATGCTTGCTGTCTAGTGCTCTAGAACAAAGAAAACCAAAAAAAAAAGAAAACTAAACAACAGAAAAACATTGAAAATTCTGGGGTCCTAAGCATTGAAAACAAATAGTAGATAAAACTATATTTTCATTACCAAGTATATACAAGCACTCAGGAAAGGTAGATATGTGCCTCTTACTTCTTTATATGGCTAGATATTCTGGTATCTAATCATTCTTTTGTGTGGTTTGTGTCTAATGAAGTATGGTGTACTCGGTTCATTAAAAGTTTATTTTGTATCAGTTGTTTCAGTTTTGTTCTGGTCCTTACTTTCTGATCATTTCAAGTTTTTTTCCGGTGATCCCACAACTCATACTTAAATATGTATATGGATTGTAAAGCTTATGCTAGAAATAAATGAAACGAAATGATTTGAAATTGATAAATAAATTTAGATTGTTATAGTATTCAAACAAAGGCTGAAGACATGAAAGTATTTGTTTGCTTGTAGGATGGGGTTTAATCTTGAATTGAAGTATAACTTATTTAAAATGGGTGTTCAATTTTTCCCAGATTGACCTGCCTTTATGAAGGTCGTTGTGATGATGGTTATGACATGGATAGATGTTTTTGGAATAAACTGACTTTTAAAAGAATGGTTATAAAGTGCCATGCTGTTGTCTTTGTGATGGTATGGGTGATCACGTTTGTTCAAATTCTCTTCTGCATACCACATGATTGACCATTAGACTTTCCTCATTTTTAGAGTAGATCAGCCCCCCCGCCCCCTTAACGGATTTTTCATCTAATTTAAATTAGCTTGGGCAGTTCAAACAAAAGGCATCCACTCACAGCAAATCTGGGAAACCACTCCTCACAAAAACCGATAGTTCCAATCCTTGGTGGAGCCTTCTTGAAAATGCTGTCGAAATGGCTGGTGGTAAACTTGGTAAGCCGGAGGTCTTTCCTGCAGCAACAGATTCACGCTACTTCCGTTACCTTGGTTTACCAGCAATTGGATTCTCACCTATGGCAAACACCCCTATTCTACTCCATGACCATAATGAGGTGATTCCTTTAATTTATTGTATGCATAATTTCTTTTTTTGTCAGTGAGCTTATTTGCATAAGAGTTATCATTGTCTTTAGAATCATATATCTGATTTGTTATTTAGAACTGAAGCTTGCAATAGACCTCATACACTGGCATCCTGGGGTTGACTTTAGCCTCTTGAGAAAACCCTTGTCTGCCAGATCAGAGCATAGTTTTGGTAAAGAAAGTGTAACAATAAACATGTAAGAGTCAGTGAATATATCTGCTTGATTCTAAAACAATAGTCTTTTCAGGTTCAATTCAATTAATTCGAATTTAGTCAAAAGTACCCTTAACTTTCCAACTATTGTTTTTGTTATTTTTTTTCAATGTAAGTATTCTTTATTGCTTACTCTTAATTATATGTAGGAATATTGTTATGAAAGATAACTTGAAAACTAAAAGTACTATTGTCTTGGAATAGAGGGAATCATAAGAGAAGGTTGGTGTTTACACAAAACTGTTAGGATTTAAGGACAATGAGATAGCCCAATCCAAAAGACTAGTCCATTACCTGAGAGAACCTCAAGATCTAGTTCTACGTCGAGTAATTCATTATGCTTTATGTGAATCTTCTAACATGTCACTTCCTTTAAATGCTGACATCCACAACGGCTTTCAATTTTCTCTTTGACAACTTCACTCATATATCATGTGATAGCAATCAGCACAGAGTAGGAGAAAAGATAAAAGAAATTCCTATATTATTGCTCACTCTGTCCAAACACTACAGAGGAGAAGATCCACTCACTATACGTGATACAATGACCTGAGTCCCAAGTCCCAAATNCTTGTAGGATGGGGTTTAATCTTGAATTGAAGTATAACTTATTTAAAATGGGTGTTCAATTTTTCCCAGATTGACCTGCCTTTATGAAGGTCGTTGTGATGATGGTTATGACATGGATAGATGTTTTTGGAATAAACTGACTTTTAAAAGAATGGTTATAAAGTGCCATGCTGTTGTCTTTGTGATGGTATGGGTGATCACGTTTGTTCAAATTCTCTTCTGCATACCACATGATTGACCATTAGACTTTCCTCATTTTTAGAGTAGATCAGCCCCCCCGCCCCCTTAACGGATTTTTCATCTAATTTAAATTAGCTTGGGCAGTTCAAACAAAAGGCATCCACTCACAGCAAATCTGGGAAACCACTCCTCACAAAAACCGATAGTTCCAATCCTTGGTGGAGCCTTCTTGAAAATGCTGTCGAAATGGCTGGTGGTAAACTTGGTAAGCCGGAGGTCTTTCCTGCAGCAACAGATTCACGCTACTTCCGTTACCTTGGTTTACCAGCAATTGGATTCTCACCTATGGCAAACACCCCTATTCTACTCCATGACCATAATGAGGTGATTCCTTTAATTTATTGTATGCATAATTTCTTTTTTTGTCAGTGAGCTTATTTGCATAAGAGTTATCATTGTCTTTAGAATCATATATCTGATTTGTTATTTAGAACTGAAGCTTGCAATAGACCTCATACACTGGCATCCTGGGGTTGACTTTAGCCTCTTGAGAAAACCCTTGTCTGCCAGATCAGAGCATAGTTTTGGTAAAGAAAGTGTAACAATAAACATGTAAGAGTCAGTGAATATATCTGCTTGATTCTAAAACAATAGTCTTTTCAGGTTCAATTCAATTAATTCGAATTTAGTCAAAAGTACCCTTAACTTTCCAACTATTGTTTTTGTTATTTTTTTTCAATGTAAGTATTCTTTATTGCTTACTCTTAATTATATGTAGGAATATTGTTATGAAAGATAACTTGAAAACTAAAAGTACTATTGTCTTGGAATAGAGGGAATCATAAGAGAAGGTTGGTGTTTACACAAAACTGTTAGGATTTAAGGACAATGAGATAGCCCAATCCAAAAGACTAGTCCATTACCTGAGAGAACCTCAAGATCTAGTTCTACGTCGAGTAATTCATTATGCTTTATGTGAATCTTCTAACATGTCACTTCCTTTAAATGCTGACATCCACAACGGCTTTCAATTTTCTCTTTGACAACTTCACTCATATATCATGTGATAGCAATCAGCACAGAGTAGGAGAAAAGATAAAAGAAATTCCTATATTATTGCTCACTCTGTCCAAACACTACAGAGGAGAAGATCCACTCACTATACGTGATACAATGACCTGAGTCCCAAGTCCCAAATTCCACTTCCCTGCCTTCCCCCAACATATGCTCCCCTCCCCTCTATATTCTTCCCTTCTCTCTCTTCAAAACAGAAAATATTCCTCACTAGATCCTCCCACCTCCAGCCCACCTGCCACTCAACAATTCTGTTAAGATCCCAATCATTGGATGTGTACTAGTGGACCCCATGAAATACGTTTCCACTTCTTCCTTTCGTACACCATACATCTTACTAAACTTCCCACATTGCCTTTTTTCCTTTAAACTTATACTCGTATCATCATATATTTGGTTTGCACTTTAATCCAATTTACTCTGTTCTCAAGTGAACATCGTACATTAAATATCTGAAGATGAAGAAGGAAAAAGTAAAAAACTATTATAAAAATGGGAGGTTGATTTGAGAGTTTGCAATTTTCTCATGTAAAAATTGCATGTTGAATAATAAAATATTTTTTGAGTGTTCGTGAATGGAAATTGAGGTGTCAAAATTACCTAAACTGACTGTAGAATTACCTAAAACTGGTTGTGTATTTGTCTGAGCGTGCTTCAATTAGTAGAAATTACTTCTTATTGATTCCCAAGGTAACCTAACACCCAAATGAATATAGAAAACATCAATTATCAATACTTGAACATAAAATAAGAATGTAAACCAAATTATTTCTGTAAAGTGGGAGAGCCTCAAATCTTAAGTACGACATGTGGGACTCAACAAAACCACCTTTGTTTGGAAAGATTGTCTCACATCACTGAGATAGGAATTGACATTGTTTTTTTCTTCTTTTTGGGTATGAACTGCACTGATGTCCTTCTATCAGCATCTCTGAATTTGTCAACTGTATTTAGTTTGGAGTTCAAATTTGACATGAATTTTTTTTCTCCTTTACGTAGTTTCTACACAAAGATGAATACTTGAAAGGGATTGAAATTTACGAGTCAATAATCAAGGCATATGCATCATTCAATGACCATGGAAGAGATGGAGCATCCAAAGATGAGTTATGAGTATTAAATGATCATGCAAGAAATAAGTTACTAGCAAATGGTGCGGCACCAACACATCTAGTTCACACTTTCTGCCTTTTCTCGATCAATGTAATAATACAGAGGAAAATTAATACTTAGAATTGGCTGAGTAGATTCTGACACGTGGCATTAAAGAGGAATCGAATTAGATGGTCACAAACTTAGCTCAGAGCAACTTGGCACTTCCATGAATGCATTCATAGAAAACATTTCTGTGCATAATATTGTTAAAAGTCACTCCTACTATTCACTGCATTGTTAACTACTTTTTTTCTTAAAAAAATAATTATGTTCTTTTAAAGTTTTTCGTTTCTTGACCATTTGAGTTAAACATAAACTTGTTACTTTTTATTTTGTAAATTATTTTTCATAGGTTGATTGAAAACTTTTTCGTTTTAATTAAAGGTGAATTGGAGAGAAAGAGTGAATAACATTTCAAGAATAATATACATGTAATTTAAGTATTAATGAAGTGTTTATTTTTGCGAATAATATAGTGTAACTTAGATATTAATGAAGTATTTTTTTGTTAATAATTTAGTTATGTTGTTTTATTGCAATAATATGTTTTATATTTAGTTTTTTTTCTTTATATCATTAGCTTACATAAGTTATTTAGAGATAAATTTCACCCTCATTTCATTTCAAGAATACAAAAATTATAATTTTTTTCACTAGAACATGAGCAGAAACATGTCAATTGGTAAAAAAGATATACAATATTATTACAAATACTTAAGAGAGATTATTGTAACATTGATCAATTAGTGATATTTATGATTGTCAATGACATTTTTTTAAATAAAAATATTTTTTTTATTTAATTTTTTATGATCAAATATAAAAATGTCATTCTTGTTAAGATATGAGAGTGTAATGTAAATGAACATTTTTCATGTTTGATCATATAAGATTCATCCTAAGTGATATTTTAAAAAGTTGTGTGAAACTTTACTTTCTTACTTAATTTTTGAAAACATGTGTGCATGACTTTTCTCTTCATTAATAACTATCCTAGATACAAAGGAGACTTTATTGTCTTTATGGTGGTTTTTTATGGAGAATAGTTTTGTTTGATTGTATTTGTGTTCTCTTTTATTCTCATGGAGAACGGTTTTGTTCAATTAGTTTTCTAAACATCTATTTTATTTATATTGAAATTGTGATTGTTTTGGGAAACTTAATAATATTTTTCTTTATTGTTAATGAGTTTTTTTGTAGTGGTTGTGAGTGTTTCGCAGTGATTGTTCCGATTGCATTAAAATTTTGTGGGTCAAATGCATAATTGTGATATATGCTTCATATATTCATAGTTGTTTTTGAGAATCTTAATAGCATGAATAATTATATTATGATTTTTTTTATTATACATATAGTCATCTGTGATTCATGTAGGTAGGACAAATTTGTTCAATTGATATTTTTTCATATTTAAGGTTTTCTTATAAGCTTGAATCATTTTAAGAAAATACCAAAAATTTACCTTAAGTATTAAAAGGTTTAACATAAAATTACCTTAGAGATTTTGTCTGATGTAAATATATGTCTCTCACATAAATGTCTTATTGTTAACAAATGTAAACAACCAAAAATATCATAAATAAAAAATTTCTTTCGTGGTGAGAATTAATGGAACAAACGGAAAAGAAACTCGAGAGATTTACTGAGAAAAAAACTAAAATCAAAATGCTAGCATTATACAGGGACGTCTGCATGTAATATAAAGGCATGCAGAAGGTACTGAAACAGAGCAACTAACTAAACTAACTAAAACATAAAAGAGAATTTGAATTATAACAGCTAACACTCTCCCTTAATTCAAATTCTCGAAGGACACCATTCCAATTTTTGATCGCATATTCACGAACTTATCAATGGCTAAAGGTTTGGTACATAGATCTGCCAATTGTTCCAAAGTCCTGCAGTATGTCAACTTGATCCTTTCCTTGTTAACAACATCACGTAAGAAGTGAAATTTCACTTCAATATGTTTGCTCCTCCCATGGCTGACAGGATTCCTGGCAAGGTTTATGGCTGAAGTATTGTCTATTCTCAGTTCCACAGGTTCTTCCAGAACAATTCTCAGCTCAGATAATAATTCTTCAATCCAAACTCCTTGGCATGCAGCATAGCAACCTGCAACATACTCGGCTTCGCAGCTGGACAGAGCAACGACAGTTTGCTTCTTGGATGACCACGAGATGGGTGCTCCATTAATGAAGTATATGAACCCGGAAGTACTTCTCCTCTCAACAGTGTCACCACCATAGTCAGAATCGCAAAAACCTGTGACCTTCAAACAGCTTTCCTGGTTTCCAAAAGGAAACAATATTCCATAGCCAGTGGTGCCTTTTACATATCTGAGAATACGCTTGGTAGAGTCCATATGACTTTTCCTTGGTTGGCACATGAACCTGCTTATCAAGCCTACACTAAACATTAAATCAGGTCTACTGTTACACAAAAATCTTAATGACCCAACAACCTGTTTGTATTTTGTGGCATCTGCATATTCTTCAGCATCGTTATTCCCAAGTTTTATATTTGCCTCTAAAGGACTTTGAGCTGCATTGCACTGGTGCATTTGGAATCTCTCAAGTATTTCATTTGCATACTTCTGTTGGTGCATAACAATACCTCTTTCAGACCGTGTGAACTCCATCCCGAGGAAATAATAAAGTTCTCCCAAATCTGTCATATCGAAGTCTCTTTTCATGTTCATCTTGAATTTATCTACATCCTCCAGCCTTGATCCTGTTACAAGTAAGTCATCTACGTATAAACAAACAATTAACATATTACCTTTTGATGTTTCTTTCACGTAGACACTGTGTTCAACCTTGCATTTTTCAAATCCTTGATTTATTAGAGAAGAGTCAATCCTCTTATTCCAAGCTCTGGGTGCTTGGCGTAGACCATACAAGGCTTTCTGCAACCTATAGACCTTTCTCTCATCATTCTTAATCTTAAAACCTGGAGGTTGTTGTACGTAAACCTCTTCTTCCAACACTCCATGAAGAAAAGCAGACTTGACATCAAGCTGATAGATCTGCCATCTTCGAGCACAAGCAATTGCCACCACCATACGAATGGTTTCCAATCTCGCCACTGGTGCGAAGACCTCGTCAAAATCAATGCCCTTTTTCTGCAAAAATCCCCTGGCAACGAGACGTGCCTTATACTTTGACACCGAGCCATCTGGATTTAGTTTTCTCTTGAATATCCATTTGACACCAATGCTACATTTTCCAGGTGGGAGATCAACTAAGCGCCACGTGTTGTTCCTTTCAATGGAGTTAAGTTCTTCCACCATTGCATTCTTCCAAACAGATTGTTTAAGTGCATCATCAACACTCACAGGCTCTGCCTCTGCCATTAGAGCTATGTGGATTAGACTCCCTTCCTCATCAATAGCAGAATCTGAGTATGTCTCATAATCGGAGAGTCTTGAGGATCTCACAATCTGCCTTCTTGGTCGTTGATTACCAACTTCAACACTGATGTTCTCAGCAGGGTCATCCTCAGTTTCAGGTACAACCTTTGTTCCTTCTTCTTCTTCAAGATTTTCGAGAGTTTCTCGTATCACGATTCTTTTAGGATTCTTATGCATGCTGCTCCAGTCCCAGGTTTCCTTTTCTAACACAAGCACATCCCTGCTGATGACCATTTTTTGCTTCTTTGGATTGTAGAGCTTGTACGCTCCCGTGGAATGATATCCCATGAACACCATAGGTTCACTCTTGTCTTCAAGTTTGGTACGTTTCTGATCTGCAACATGAACAAACGCAAGGGAACCAAAGATTTTTAAATGCTTTACAGAAGGTGTGTTACCTGTCCATACTTCGAGAGGCACCTTTCCTTTGATACGCTTTGTAGGACATCTGTTTAAGAGATATACAGCTGTAGCAACTGCCTCTGCCCAGAAATCACGTGGCACGTTCTTTTCTTTCATCAAACATCTTGCAGTATTCAGGATAGTGCGGTTTCTTCTTTCTACAAGAGCATTATGTTGTGGGGTATATGGAGCAGTAACTTCATGACTTATACCTTTCTTTTGGCAGAAATCTTCAAACGCATGAGAGGTAAACTCACCTCCACCATCAGTTCTAAGAACCTTCAACGTTTTTCCACTTTCTCTTTCCACACCAGCAATATACCTCTTGAACACATCAAGAGCTTCTCCTTTCAATTTGATCATATAAACCCAACACATTCTGCTGAATTCATCCACGAACACGATAAAATACCTATTTCCACCAAGGGATGGTGTATCTAAAGGACCGCAAGTGTCCGCATGTATGATATCAAGGCATCCTTTTGATCTCATCTCTATTTCAGATCGAAAAGCTTTTCTGGGTTGCTTGCCTGCCAAACAAGATTTACAATTATCATCTGGTATAGAAATATGTGGGCATAAAAACCTGTTACCATGAGCTTTCTCTTTTCTTCGAGGCGCCTTTTCAAATCTCTGAAATTTATGTCCATATCGTAGTGCCACTTCTCCCAACTTCGTCCCGTTGCCGTTAGCTGTAAGCGAGGGTTGTTGGGTGTTTCGAGAGCTGAACTTACATGGTGAGTATGGGTCTCGTGATTGCTTCGAAACGTGGACGATCGAAGGATGTCTATTCTGGACTGCAAGATATGGTTTTGCTGTCGATATAGCTTCACGCGGGTTATGTGTTGATTTCCCATAGAGACAGTAGAGAACCGTTTCTCACCAATTGTCCAATGATCAAGGAGGGTATGGGCATTGTCATATCAAGGAACATACAACATATTGAGATAAACTACCGTGAGAAAACCATCCTTCTATAATAATCAACCACATCTCCTGCAAACCTTCAATCAACTCTTAATGTGCTATCATCAAGCGAATTTAATTGGCTCTTCCTGGTCTGTTTAAGATTTTGACGAGCCACTCCTGTTGCATTGTATGTGATTGTGAAACATCCATGAGTCTGAGATACCCGGTCCCCTTGTTAAAGAATTGTACCTTCTGTTGCTGTTAACACATCAATTACGCGATCAAGGTAAGCCGTTCCTGTACTCGTGTCGAGTGCTTCTTCAGAAACATGAGTTCTTTCCTTCTTCTACTTGCTCTTCTTCTTTTTGTGAGGGTCTTCTGGAAAACCACTCAGACTCAAAGTGACCATACGTTAATGGACAATTGAAGCATTCTATATTTTCCTTTTATATCTTTCTTCTTTTCCAGTTTTTCTTGTAAACCTTTTCTTGTCTTTGAATCAGATGTATAGTTATCGGATTTCATCTCTCATCCGGTTCTGGTATCATTATACAGCGTTATTTCCTTCTTTCT